AGATAAGTTGATGTTAGGTGAAATGAACCCCAAGATAAGGATTCAAATGTTTTTGCTTTCATGCAATTGTTTCTAACATATTTATAAGATGATTTATTTGTTGCTTTGTAAGTCCCTCCCCCACAGTATAACCCCTGCTGGTATAATTTGGGGAGCAAAAGGGAAAAAACAAATCGTTTAAATAGGGATATGGGTGGACCCATTGAAACAATGAGATGTACAAATTGTTATGTCAAAAAACGAACTTTACAACTTTGGCAGGGGGAGATGGGAAGGGATGGGAAGGGGAAACAAAGGAGGAGGCAACAATGCTTGATAAGAAATGTACTCATTATCTTGCCCATGTAATTGTAACCCCTCTGTATGGTATTTTCACAATAATAATAATAATAACAAAAAAGAAAACATTATTTTCAGAAAGTGGGATAAAGCTGAAGATCATCATGTTGAGCCAGATAAGCCATGGTGATAAAGCTAAACATTAAATGCTGTTGCTCACTTAATCCAGATTGAAATATTATATATATATGTATCCATTGAAATATTCATATATATTTATATAGATGTACATATATTATACATATAATTATATAAATGTATCGGATTATACATCTATAAAGATGCATTTTCTATATATATAATATATGGATGCAATTTATAATGTGTATAATACATAATATAATAAACATGTATAAATATACACATAAATTGTATCAAGCTAAACATTGAGTGCTGTTGCACACTTACGGAATCCAGACTTACATGACACATATATTCAAGAAAATGTCCATATATATTTCTTTAGATGTATACATATACATATTTATTTATTTAGATGTACAATCTAATATTTACCTATACACATTTATATCTATATAGTTCTATATGAATACATATTTGATACATATATGTTTATGCATATGTATACATTATATGTAAGTATACTTGCATATTTACATATAAATATATACATTAGCTATATTTTATATATTATATAAAGTATATATAACATAAAATTATATATTTATATGTAAGTATATATTTATATGCATATTTATACATTATATAAATTTCATATATTAATATATAATATATGAGTATATACATCTATATACATATATACAAAAACATAATTGTGATGATCTGACTGTTAAGGGGAGTGATGTGCTGGGGGAAAGGAAAAGAAAATGCTACAAAGTGAATAATGTGGAAATATATTGTATCTATGGATGAAGACTGCATCAGAATTCATCTTATGCTGTCAAACAATAATAAGGGGTGTTAGGATAGCTATCAATAGAGTAGGTATTCTCATAAACACACAAGATGTGCTGATTTAAGATACCAGGGTGATACTCTAGGAAACAATTAAAAGAAAGGAACAAGGGGAAAGTAAAATAAACAAAAATACTCATGGAATGGGAAGGTAAGCAGGGCCAAATAGGACTAGTGTACTAAGTGTATATACATACATACATATGTACATATATACAACACTGAAAACAGTTGAAACTGTTCTGTGAAGCTGTGGTGTTACTCAGGGTGCACAGCATGCTTGCGCGGGAAGGTCACAAAGACATGTGCTAATGTGTGCTACTAAACCACAATAATGCTAATGCACTTTATTACAAAAATGGTTTCTGAGCCTTAAAACACTAGAGGACTGAAGAATGATTTGAAGTGGAAGAGTGCCTGACAAGCAAGCACAGGCTTTGACATCAAACTCTAGTACTGGAAAATAAATGAATAAATAAATGAAACACTAGTAAACCAAATTATTCTAAAACATAAGCACATTTACTCATGCTTTTACTATTCATGAAATGTCTGATACAGATATACAGATGACAGTGCAAATAGAAAAATATTTTCCAGTTTCTGCCATCAGCTTCACAAATAAAGCTACAATACATCAAAGGGAAAACTTTCAAAAAATTTTTTAGGATTTATACATCCATATATGTCAAAATATATACACACTCATACACATATACAACACACACAGAGGACAGATAGTCTATATATAGATATATCTATATACAGATAGATATCCAATGTATATCTATCTATCTATCCAACATTCTCTAGGTTGACTTGGAAAGGTATTTCATTTTTACATAGACTTGATTTCAGAACCCAAGCTGATTCCTTGTACCATCTAAGTGTAAGCTTTCTGTGCTCTATTAAAATGAATGAAGACTAGGAGCTGGGAAGGTGGCTCAGTGGTAGAGTGCTTGCCTTGCATGCATGAGGCCCTGGGTTCGATTCCTCAGCACCACATAAGCAGAAAAAGCCAGAAAAGGCCCTGTGGCTCAAGTGGTAGAGTGCTAGCCTTGAGCTGAAGAACTGAGGGACAGCACCCAGGCCCAGAGTTCAGGCCCCACATCCGACAAAAAATAAAATAAAATAAAATGAATGAAGACTACAGATCACCATAGCAGTACTATACATCAATAACATGGTTAGAAGATAATTACTTTAGTAATTATAGAGTAAAAGAGGTAAAGAAATCATCTTTGTAGGCACATGCTAGGTGATAAAATCACATGAAATTAACATATTGTTTGATGAATATATACAAAACAATAAAACAACAGACAAACCTTGATATTCCAGGGTGCTTCTTCATTGTTTTCTTCTTTCAAACCTAATATGGACATAATCATAAATAAATAAATTAAATTTTAAATGCATGTGCAAGATGGATTGGGTGCATTGTATGTTTGTGTACTTGAAACATCCCTCGTACAAATAATGTGTGCTAATAAACCTTCTTTGTAAAATGCTGTTTACTTCATCAATTAATCAAATCCAATTGTTATTTCTACTCATTAAATGTGGATGATGTGCCCATTTACTTTTCTTTACCTGTTGAGCCACCATTCTGTGTGGAGGTATCTCACTTAGGTATGTATCATTTCTTGTATCTACCAAGGTCTAAAAAAATGAAAAAGGCTGGGCATCGGTGGCTCATGCCTGTAATCCTAGCCATTCAGGAGGCTGATATAATGAGGATTGTGTTTCAAAGCCAGCCTGGGCAGGAAAGACCATGAGACTCTTATCTCCAATAAATCACCAGAAAACCAGAAGAGCTGAGAGACAGAGCCCAGGCCCAGAGTTCAAGCCCCATGACCAACAACAACAACAAAAAAAGATGAGTCACCAAAAAAACAAAAAGGAAAAAATGACTGAGATTTTGATGACCAACAGAACATGTAGTTAATATGATACTCCCTAGGTTCAACCACTACAAATAATTGGACTAAGAAGACCAACCTAAACGTAAAAAGAAGAAAAAAAAATGAAGGAAAAGGGGGCAAGCAAAAGATTAGCCTAAGATAATTAATTTAGAGCTTGCATTAACTTCTCTCTGAGTCACTGGAAATCTTACATAAATAAGTACAATGTTAATTCTAGAGGGTGGAAGAAAGCAAGCACACATCATGTGATATTTTCACGTGCAATTGCATAATTTCTTATGAAAAATGAAATAATTAATGATCATCTTATATCTTGTAAATTTTGATTGAGCAAATGTACCTGATTGGAGTGTTTGTACAGCCTTCTTTGCTATTGTTTTATGTGGAACACCAACTTTCTTTTCTGTGGGAGGCATTATGGACTATAAAATGAGATATTCAATAATTAATGCAAATTTTATACTATATGAATAACAAATAACTGTAGATAAAAATATTAAAATTTTTACCTTCTTGGAAGAATGCATCCTGGTAGATTCTAAAACCAGAGAGGTAAGTAATAAATTATATGTGGAAAAACTCCACTATATTTATGCAGTTACCATACAACTGAAACACTGTGATTAGCTCTAAAATAAATGTTTTAGACTTTGCCATGGGAATTTGTAGTTTCCTTGATTGTTGGTGGTGGTATTGGTAGTAGTGGTGGTGGTGTGTGTATGTGTGCCAAGGTCTGGGCACTGAGCAAAAGAAGTTCAAGGCTAGCACACTACCTCTTGAACCACAATCCCACTTCTGGCTTTTCTGTTATTTAATTGGAGACAAGAGTCTCATGGACTTTCCTGCCTGGACTGACTTGAAATGGCAATCTTCAGATCTGAACCTCCTGAGTAGCTAGGGTTACAAGTGTCCTGTGTCCTGCTGGTTTACTTGTTTTGTGTCCAGGACAGATACATAACACAATACAATAAGAAAAGACATATTTATAATTAACACTGAAGTATATTCAATGTGAGATTATGCTTCCAATAAACATTACTGTAACAGAAAGGAACATATAACAATGTAAATATACAGATTAATAAAGAAAAATTGACCTCAAATGAGACCATACTTCACATAAACCTGCTATAGAATAAAACAATATTCATCATTAATAAAATACTTCAGAGTATTCATCTCCCCAAACTACATAGATTTGTGTCTTCTCATTTATTTACTAATATGCTTTTTTTGTTGTTGTTTTGTTTTTTGGGGTCTGGCCGTGGGGCCTGAACTCTGGGCCTGGGCGCTGTCCCTCAGCTCTTCAGCTCAAGGCTAGCTCTCTACCACTTGAGCCACAGTGCCACTTCCAGCTTTTTTCTTTTTGCTTATGTGGTGCTGAGGAATCGAACCCAGGGCCTCAGGCATGCAAGGCAAGCGCTCTACCACTGAGCCACCTTCCCAGCTTGCTAACATGCTTTTGATAGTAGAATTATTCTAAAATTAATAACAACTCCTTTTTGGAATGTTTTTCTTCTGACGCTCTCAGTGGAACCTTTTTGAAGCTTGACCAGCTACATGACTGACAACCATTTAACTTTCTCACTCCACAATTATTAGGTAACTACCACTGGCCAATTGATTCATGATCATTTTTATGATGTCATGTTTATGGAACATATCTTACTTCTCACTGGTCCTTTCATCACATTTTCTGTTCTTGGATCTGCAGCCTCAGTTAAATGAGTCACAATATGTGATCCAAGATACTCAGAGATAGCCTGTGAAAATAAATATCAATTAGTTTAGGGCAAACATATTTTCTCATCACTTTAAGAAGACCTCTAAATAGCCTACCTTTACAGCAATTAAACTTCACTGTAAATATCACTTGCATGAAACCCAAGTTCATAGTATCTCTCTCTTTCTCTCAGAAAGAGAGAGAGGAAAGTAAAAAAAAAGCAAAAGTACCTGTGGAAATGGGGAAGGTAAACAAGGCTGAATATTAACTGTACTTAGAATGTACATACTAAAACGTAACACTGAAACCTGTTCAAACTGTTCTAAGAAGTCAAAGAAAGAGTGAGGGAAAGTGTTTTAGGGTGTGAGATTGATTGGGGAATAGTGTATGTTTGTGTGAAAGGATCCCAAAGAAACATCCCTGGCACAACTAATGTGTGCTACTAAAACATCTTAATGATAATGCACTTGTGTTTCAAGAATTGTTTCTATTCATTAAAACACTATGTGGTCTGGAAACATGACTCAAAGTGTAGAGGGCCAATTAAGTAAGGGCAAGGCTTGTGTTCAAACTCCTATACTGACAAATAAATAATAAAATCTTAGGATATGACATTGTTCTAAAATATACCATAACTATAACTAATGTATTGATTCATTGTGTTTATTCATTAATATTTTATTTTAAAAATTATTTAAATGTTTAAACCATCAGGAAATCTTCCTTGACAAAATAACTATTTTCCCATTGTATATTTCCAAATAGTTTACTGCCCCTTACTGCCTCTATTCCAAATTCAAAATCTTTGTGCTCTGTCCAACTTTTGCATTTCTATACTGGACACTCTTGCCATTTCATACTTCATTTATTTATTTTAGTCCTTATAGTTAAAAAATAGCTTTCCTGAGCTGGGAAGGTGTCTCAGTGGTAGAGCGCTTGCCTTGCATGCATGAGGCCCTGGGTTCAATTCCTCAGCACCACATAAGCAGAAAAAGCCAGAAGTGGCGCTGTGGCTTAAGTGGTAGAGTGCTAGCCTTGAGCTGAAGAGCTCAGGGACAGCGCCCAGGCGCAGAGTTCAAGCCCCACGACCAGCAGAAAAAAAAAGAAAAGAAATAGCTCTCCTAATTTCTTATCATTTGATACTCCTGCCTTACATTTATACACATGGAAAGCTTCCAAGAGGGATTTTTTGTTTTTGTTTTTGTTCACTACTCCTACAAAGAGGTTAAAATTGTCCCATAAATATATTACAGAAGGCCACAAATATTTAAAAAGGATGTAGGATGCCTCCCTCCAACCATAACGCTCGAGTTTTAGAGGTACTCAGTGAGAGACTTGGAGAGCATGGAATGTTTGAGACTTTATCTGCTTTGGGGGCGGCACTCTGCATCAAGTATTCCCACCTTACAGGCTGAGCCTTGTCCTGTTCTCCAGTAGCGTTCACCTTGCAATAAAAGGTAACCAGTATCATCATGCTTATGATACTACAGCCAAGGAAGCCCTAAATGCTATCAAAGAATGGAAAGAGAAACTATAGGATGTTCCAGAGCCATAAAATAAAAATGAGATTATGTCTTTTTCAGGAGATGGATGGAGACAGAGGTTATCATGTCCAGTTGGAAGGCCCTGCATATAAAGCCAAAAAAATTGCATCGCTTACTCACTTTTGGAATCCAGGCTAAATATAAATATATATGCTCACACATATCTATCCATACCTATGTTCAGGTATGCATATATGGGTATACATGTATATTTACATATATCCACATAACTGTAATGATGTAACTATTTAGGGGAGCAAGACACTGGGGGAGAAGAAAAGTAAATGCAACAGAGTGAATAATGGTTGAGTATATGGTGCCTGTGGATGAAGACTGCACTGGAAATCTCATTGAATGCTGCTGAACAATAGTGGACGCAACGGGTGCTGGGAAAGAGAGTGGTAGAGTGGGTAATCTTTATGTATTTTTTTGTCAGTCATGGGGCTTGAACTCTGGGCTTGGGCACTGTCTGCACTCTTCAGCTCAAGGTGAGCGCACTACCACTTGAGCCACAGCGCCACTTCCGATTTTCTAGTGGTTTATTGGAGATAAGAGTCTCACTGACTTTTCTGCCCTGGCTGGCTCTGAACCGTGATCCTCAAATCTCAGCCTCCTGAGTAGCTAGAATTACAGGCGTGAGCCACGGCACCTGGCTAAGTGGGTAATCTTACTGAAATACAATATATGCAGATTCAAGGTACCAAGGTGATACTCTATAGAACAATTAATACACAAAAGAATGAGAGGAAAGTAAAACAAACACTGTTTCAGCAAAATTACTAGTAGAAAAGGGGAGGATAAGTAGGGCTGAATATTACTAATTTACTTAGTATGCATATATGAAGACAGAATACTGAAAGCTGGTGAAACTTCTAAGAAGGCAAAGCAGTCCTGACAGAGTGTTTTAGGGTATGATATTGATCACGATGCATAGTGTAGAAGAGTTGCAAAAAATTACTCTGCTACAACTAGTATGTGCTGCCAAGACATCTCAATACCATGAGCTTTATTTCATAAAGTGTTTTTGGTCATTAAAACACTGTGATGAGTGGAAGTATGATTTCAGTGGAAAAGTGCTAGCCAAAACAATGGCAAGGCTCCGGCTACAGACCCTACTGGCAAATAAAGCAATTAAAAAATAGAAAACTAAATTGTTATTATCCACACATACATTTACAATTCCTCATGCTTTTCCTACTAGTGAAATATCTGATTCAGATATATTGCAAATGAAGTATCTAATGCAATAGTTAACAATCAAATTAGAAATAAATTTTCAGGTTCTATCATCATCTTCACATATACACATAAAACTTCACAGTGAAATGTTCTGAATGATATTAGGTCTTTTGCACATCCATATATATGTATATATATCAGAATACACACATGCATGCATATGTAATATACAAACAGAGACATATGTATGTGTATATATATATATATATGTGTGTGTGTATATATATATAAAACCATTCTCTAGGTTGACTTTAAAAGTTACTTTTTGTTTGTTTGTTTTTTGTCGGTTGTGGGGCTTGAACTCTGGGCTTGGGCGCTGTCCCTCAGCTCTTCAGCTCAAGGCGAGTGCTCTTCCACTTGAGCCACAGTGCCACTAAAAGTTACTTTGTTTTCACATAGCCTTGACTTCAGAACCCAAGCTGACTTGTCATGCCTTCTGAGTGTGCTTTCTGTGCTCTGTTAAAATGACTTCATTCAGTGAACACTACAGATCACCATAGCAATACTACACATAGGTACATAGCAGTACTACACATAGTGAAGAGAGAATCATTGTATCAATTATAGATGTGAAAAGGTGAGAAATAATTTTTGTAGGTACATGCTAATAGGGAAAATAAAGTAAATTTGCCCCTTCTACATTTAAAAATTACTCAAAAATATACAAAACAAAACAACAGACAAACCTTGGTATTCCGGGGTGATTCTTTATCTTCCTCTTCTTTCAAACCTAGGGTAGACATAGTAACAGATACATTAATGAGGAAAATTATAACTCTGAGCTTTATATGCATGTATGAGACATATCAGGGTATGCTTCATGTTGGTGTGCAAGAAACCTCTTTTGTACAACAAATGTGCTGATAAAATGCTCATAAAAGTACACATTATTTCATAAATTATTCTACACATAAGTGTTTCTAATCATTAATTGATGATGTGGGGGTTTGCTCTGTTCTTTTCCTGTTGAATATTGTCCTGGGTTGAAGTACCTCATTTAGGTATTTGGTTTGGAATGTGCATTTCTTGTATCTTCCAAGCTCTTTGAAAAAATAGAAAAAAAAATGACCAGGATTTGATGATCAATGGAACATATAGTTAACAGGTAGGGCCCTAGATTTAGTAAACACACATAATACAAATAATAATAAGAAAAGGCAAAAAGGAAGAGGAAGGAGCTGGTGACTCATACCTGTAATCCTATCTACTTGGGAGACTGAGATCTGAGGATTGTAATATAAAGCCAGCTTAGGCAGGAAAGCTACTAGCCTTGAACAAAAAGCTCAGGGACAGTGTTCAGGCCCTGAGTTTGAGGACCAGGACAGGCACAAAAGCAAAAGAAGAAAGAAAGAAAGGAACGGAAGGAAGGAAGGAAGGAAGGAAGGAAGGAAGGAAGGAAGGAAGGAAGGAAGGAAGGAAGGATAAGAATGAGCAAGATTAGTCCATTTTATCATATAACTTTTGATGCTGAGCTTGCATTAATTAGCACGTGAGTGAAAATCTTCAATAAAATGAAATGTCCATTCTAGAGGATGGAAAAAAGCAAACACATATCATGTGATATTCTATAATTTCTGGTGAAAAATGAAGCATCTTGATAAATTTCCAAGAGTCCTAAAATCTGAGACTCAAAAATCCCTTGTCTCCAAAACGAAGTGATCGAGATCTTGGGTACACATCACCTACATCACAATAGATTTCCATAATTAACCTTTGGGAATTCCCAACATATAGAGTAGTATCAAAATAGGATATTTGGGCTAGTAAGACATAAAAGCAGAAATAACTGAGTTTCAGCTGACCTATTGTAAAGTTAAGTTGAGCATAATTTACCTGGTTGGAGTATTTGCACAACCTCCTTCGCTAGTGCCTTTGCTGGAATGTCATTTTTCTTTTCAGGGACAGGTTGAATGGGCTATGAAATGATATATCTAATAATTATTGCATTTATCATACTATATAAAGTTAAAATGACTCAGAATAATTTCTTTTTTTGCCACTCCTGGACTTGTGAATCAGGGCCTGGGCACTGTTCCTGAGCTTCTTTTGTTCAAGGCTAGCACTCTATCACCTGAACCAAAGCGCCACTTCCAGCTTTTTCTATGTTGTTAGCCCAATGATCTCCCTTCCCATAGCTTAGCATACTCCTTCCCCTCGCCACAGCTTAGCATGCTCCCTTCCTAGCCAACATTGGTCCCATTTAGTAAAGGCAGTCAATAATCAGCCTCCAACCCTCCTTTGCCTTGAGATGGCACTCCTCTGGGGCAGCTACCACCACATAAGGAAACAAGAGCCCCTTAGAGTGACCTTCAGGTCTGGGCAGCTGCAGGGCCCCTTATCTACTCCTTGGGCAGCAGCCATAAATCCTACTCCACCATGATAAGGCTCCTGGCCCTCACGTCCACACCAGTGTCTCTGCCTCCTAGCCCCTTCTAGGCCTCCTAGCCTCAGTAGCTTATATAGGTCACCTGAGACAATAGCCAGCATTTCTTCTCACCCCTCTCTTGTGGGAAGGGGTGTTGCCAAGTCCCTTTACTGGCAATAAACCTTTTCTTTGTTCTTTATACCTGGATGTCTGCACGGTTTTCTGGCAAAGTCTAATTTACTCTAACATATGTGGCACTGAGGAATCAAACTCAGGTTTCATGCATGCTAGGTAAACACTCTACCACTGAACCACATTCCCAGCCCAGAATCAAAAAAAGTTTAAACTCTTACTTTCATAGAAAGATGGAACTTGGGAGATTCTAAAACTAAAAAAGATAAGTAGTCAATTATATGTAGGACCACATCAATGTTACATTCATACCATACAATAGACCCAATGATTAGCTCTGAATTGATTATGATTTTATAATAGGGATTAGTAGGTTACTTGTTTTGTGTGCATTTTTTTTTGCCAGTCCTGAGTCTTGAACTCAGGGCCTAGGCATTGTCCCTGAACTTCTTTTGCTCAAGGCTAGCACTCTACCACTTGAGCCACAGCACCACTTCCAGATTTTTCTGTTTATGTGGTACTAAAGAATCAAATCCAGGGCTTCATACATACAAGACAACACTCTACCACTAAGCCACATTCCCAGGCCTTGTGTGCATTTTTCTAGTAAGGAAAGACAATGAAGAAACACAATGAAGAAAAATAAGAATATAGATTTAATTAATAATAAAGTTAATAAATGCAAAATGAGATTAGGCTTCCAATGAACATTCTTGTAATAGAAGAACCACATATACCAATGCAAATATACAGTTTAAAGGAGACAAAATTGAAGGAGACAAAAAGAGCATTTTATTTTAATGAAATACTTCAGAATCATTTATACTATATTAAACTACATGGATTTGTCTCCTCTTTCTTTCTTCCTAATATTCCTTGGGTAATAGAATATCCCAAAATATAATAATGAAGCTCATTTCTAAATCTTTCTCTTCTGGCACTCCCAATAGACAGTTGTCTGAAATGTGGATCAGTAATATAACTAATGGCAATTTCATTTATGCTAACTCTACATTTAATAGGTAACTACCATTAGACACTTGATACATGGGTCATTTTCATACCACCATTCTGTCATGTGTCGTGATTATAAATCACGTGTCTTACCTCTTACTGGTCCTTTCACCTTATTTTCTCCTTTTGGATCTGAAGTTCCAGTTACATGAGCCACATGATTTGGTCTAACCCTCTCAGAGATGCTCTATGAACATTAGTATCAATCAGTTTTCTGAAAATACATTTTCTAATTGCTTTAAGAAGATATTTAATGTCTAAGTTGAAAACAGACTAACATGAAAATGTTACTTGTATGAAACAAAAGCTTGTGAATTGAAAACTTTGTCCATGTATTCTTGAGCAAGACTGCCTTTTATCTTCACATAGCTATAAGTCATGCATCAAAGGCCAAAGAAAACACACCAAAATACAAAATGCTCATTTCAGCAAGAAACTGACTTTAAAGTATCCCACTCTACTTTTCATTCCCCTAAGAAATGAAGAACATTTTGACATCTGAATACTCAACTAATCATTAAAGGTTCATTGGGTCTAACCTAGAATTGATGGTTTACAACACTTAATGATGAGATAAATTATTTTAGGGTTCAAATGTAGATATATACTGTCATATCAGATTTCACATTAGCATCCTTAGATTTAGCATTACACTTGTAGAAGTATCTGATTTAATTTTAAAAAATGTAAATGTTCATGTAAAACTTTTATTGGTAATGAAAATGATTGCTGAACATGACAGAGAATTATAAAAGCATTTTTTACATGTTATATATCAGTATTAACAGGCACATATTTGAATGAGTGTATAATTTTTTCCCTATAAGTCTTTATTAAGAGAGAAGTTCTTGGGCTGGGAAGGTGGCTCAGTGGTAGAGTGCTTGTCTTGCATGCATGAGGCCCTGGGTTCGATTCCTCAGCACCACATAAGCAGAAAAAGCTAGAAATGGTGCTGTGGCTCAAGTGGTAGAGCACTAGCCTGGAGCTGAAAAGCTGAGGGACAGTGCCCAGGCCCAGAGTTCTGGCCCCATGACTGACAGAGAGACAGAGAGACAGAGAGAGAGATTCTTAAAAATATAGCAATCCTAATTTGAAGAGGAGTATAACAGTATTTGTTTAAGTGTCTGTAATATGCTAGGTATATATTGTTACTTTTTTCCCCAGTACTAGGGATTGAACTCAGGGCGTAGGCACTGTCTCTTAACTTTTTTGTTCAAAACTGGTGCTCTACCACTTGTGCCAGCTCCACAACTAGTTTTTTGGTGGTTACCTGGAGATAAGAGTCTCATAGACTTTCTGGCCATGACTGGTTCAAACTGTGATCCTCAATCTCAGCCTCCTGAGTAGCTAAGATTACAGGCATAAGCCACAGGCACCCAGCTTATTTATAAATTTTGACCTACACATTTCAAAGTGCAAATGACTATCATTCTGAAGGACATACTTCCTGATTCCTGTTCTGAAAAGTAAAGAGTAATAGCTTATGTGATTACAGCTGTGAAACCCACTGTTCTCCTCCACATGGCTAGCTCTTTCTCACCCTTCAGCTGGTAGCTCTAGTCTCACTCAGAGTCATAGCTTCTCTGACTAGAGTTCCACTCCGTCCCCATTCTAACTACAGACTCCTTGAATAGTCTCCATGTACACATCCTCTTTTCTTTATACAAAGTTCTATGGATCATCTATAGTTGATGGCTCTTGCTTGTTTTTTGGTCTTTTCACTACTATATATACCATCCTGTGGTATATTCAGTGTTTAAGTCTGTAGCACTAGAGGATATACTCCATGAAAGAAGTTTATTCAAAATCGAAACATTTCTATTTTATCAGAAAGGCCTCATCCATTAAACCACTATCTTCCTATGTAAATTTGGAAAGTTTATTGACCTTTTTACCATATTCCAAATTAGAAATCAGTATTTTCTTTCAAATATTCACTGTTCTTTTCTTGACAGTCATCATATCATCATCCTCATATTAAAAAATTAATTTTCATAATTTCTGCTGAGTACCCCTAGGATCATGAGGTCTTACATAAGATACACGGTTTCTGGGACACAAGAGACTTTTTGTGTTTGTTCATTATTCATGACTAAGAAATTAATGTTGTTCCATGGTTATAGTACAAAAAGCCACTGACATTAAAACAGAATAAACTCAGCATGTGAGGGAGGGACTGAAAGGGAAAGAGGGAACAGCTTACACTAAGCCAAAGGAAA